AATATCTTCAGAATTCTGAACCAAAGCTCGGTTTTAACTAAAGTGAAACAGTGTAGCAGCGATGTTTTAATTGTGCAACTTTAAATATCGTGTATTTCCGGTTGGATCGAAGCTTAGAGCGAAAGTGGCAGGGGAAGTCTTTTGTCGGAAGCTCTCAAACAACCTCAGCTCTCAAGTAAACAGACCACTACAGTGTCTTTCAAGCGGAGGTGGCTGCCATCAAGTTAGCCGCGCGGTAATTCTGACCTTGAGCTAGCTGACAGTGCGCTCAAACCTATGGAATATATTCTAAACAAAGTTCAAAATATTGCTCCAAAGGTATCATCCACTACAAAGAGAAGTCACAAAGTGGTAGCCGTGTTAGCCGCTTGGGTGCTAAGTTTCAGTTTGGTTGTCGTCGAGATCATCTAACGGGAGACGCAGGAAACGAGCTGTTTCGACGGGATCGCACCATAGGGAAATAGGTGTTAGATGAGTGGGGTTCGTTGGGCATGCAAAGAGGTGGTTAGGAGATTTATTACATGCAGAACATATAGCCAGAACGAAGGTTATAGCCGTGATGCTAATCTTGACCGCTTTAATCAGGAACAATGAACCACTAACGATTGGGTGGATTGGTATTCCTTTCGTGAGCAGCAATCTAATTTCATTCAGAGCTTTGCCGTTTGCTTTTTTCAAGGGGCTTCAGCATGTTGATTCAATCAGTAATTGTTATACTTTTGTGCATGCTTTCCAAATATCTCACTCTAACCCTTCAGTTCCACTATTACGCTTTATGAGCACTTTAGATGATATCTGCTCCACAGGGCTATAAATCTTCATGTATTCTCTTAATTTCACAGCTTTCATGTCCTTGCCATTTATCTTCTCAACGGCGCTGTCACTGTGAATGGCATGACAAAAGGGAATGCATGACACCACTGCAATGCATACAAGCAGTTCAAGGTCGCGGTATGGCGCTGAGCTTTTCCTGCAACAGCAGGCGCCACAGCTGTAGCGCCACATTTCGGCAGCGCCAGCGTAAGCATTTATGTATGTTTTTGCGTGTTTTTATGGCGCATTGAACATATTTAAATTAATAGCGCTGATTAGATATTATTCGACAGGTGGCGTACATATAACATTTGTTGCATGCAACAATCAGCAGCTAATCAGTAACATTGGCGACAACAAATGGCACGCGCGTTAACAACGCAGACAAACATCGATTGCGGCGCAGCGTGTTTGGCGTTGCTGTGGCTTGCGTGCGCCGTTAGTAGTCTACGCGTTGGCAGCAAGGCACATGCAAGCGCACTCAAGACACGCAAATAATGTTCAAATGTGCCGTCGCCAACTTGCATGCGCATTGCGCATTTCAAAAACGCAAATCGTAAAAATCACAAATCGTCGTGTAAACTAATAAGTGTAGCGCGCCGCCTGCAAACAGCAAATCGTTACACTTGTTTAGCGACAAACAAATAACGCGCGAAATGAGGCGACAACGAGCGCGTTGGCACGTCGTTGCAAACAAGCTGATTTGGTGTGCGCACTCAGCTGCTAATGAGTTTTTTCATGCAGCATGCGCGTGGTAAACGCTGGGCGCAGCCAATGCGTGCAACAATGTGCTGTAGTTGCAATTAACGCAAATGCAAAAATATTTCGCACATGCATATGCATAATGTCATAAGCAGCAGTTAAGCGTTGATTTGATTTCATTGCTGCTGACCACTGACGTGCGCGCATAACTATTTGCGACAAAACGTTCATGTAGCGCAATTTGCAATAGCCATTGCTGTTGCTGCTATTGTTGCTGCGCGGCACACAACGTGTCAGTCAGGCAAACTAACGCCAATACAAATGCCAAGCAGGCAAATCGCCTAAGCAACGCGACCGCAAAACTACGACAACTGTCATCGCATGGTGTACGGTTGTCGGAGTGCGCGGGGCGTGCATAACAGCAACCAATTATGCGCACGCAATTTCGTAAATTTACTCAACAACAAAATGTTTTACAAATTGTGCGACTACGACAATTACACATACACAGCAACAAGCAACAACAAACAACCGACGCGTCAACAGGGCCAATGCTATTCGTAATTGCGCATGCAACCCTGCCATCACCGCCGACGCCAGACCAACTAACTGCGCGTATTTAGCGGCAACAATTCGTATAATAACAAAAGCGATAACAGACTTTTCCGCCCGACTCCAGTCATTATGTTTATAATTAAATTAGTGCAAATTACACAGATGCGAGTCGAGTAATAAATTGACTGGTCACATAAACAGCAGTTAATACATTGCTGGTCGGCGGTAGGCATGTGATGTGGCGCGTATTGTAAGGGTGTTGCGGCGGGCGTAAAGTTGATGAACAATGTTCGGTTATGCCATGAGACATTTATTTACACAAATAGTCAGAGACAAAGGACTGTTCCAATGTATTAACCGAACCGGATGGAAGTGACTAGTGTGAGAAGGAATTTTTGCGGTAATTCCGCAGCGCTGCGACTCAGTGGCAACAATTTAAGTCGCAATTATATGTAATTAACTATTAAAATAGCTAATGGAAACCAAGCGTTTTACGCACTATTTCGTCCTACTGACCGCAGCTAAATTAGATAGTTATTTTTATAAGCGCTAAATACTAAAATGGCACAGAAAATAGTATGGTTATGGTATAAGAGGAATAAGAGAGAGACTTCTGCAATATTGCTAAACATCATTAGAAAAATAAAGTCTAAAACGGAGAGCCAAATGTCATATGCTTCTCTGGATCGCCTTTTGCGATTTCCAAAAAGAGACAGCCAGCCGACTGTCAAACCTAGGAACCTAGAAAAACTTAATTAAGTGAATACGAAAGATGCAGTAGTTTAACCTGTGGCATATTTGAGCAGTGAGCTATGTAAAATCAACTCTTCTGCAAACAGCCAGTTCTGTGACATGGAGCCGGAAACGCAGAACACCAGCTAGTGGACTGTACAACAGTCTGCAGACGCAGAATTAAGGCCCTGGGATCCATGTTTCCAAACAGGGATCGCATCGCTTCACTAGCACGCAGCTGAATATTGGAGTTTATGAACATGCTGGAGCTAGATGAATCGTAATGACTTAGGGGAGGGCACAATAGACCATAGGTCACGATGCATACCTCTAAACTAATCTATCTATGTAAAATCAAAGTAAAAAGTATACGACCTTTAGACTATTCGCCCGTTTGGTACTAACTTCGGATCGCAAACACCCAATAACGTTAATTGACGAACGTAGGGACTTCGAATACAACAATTAATGACTTCCAATTTTATTTGCTAAAATATGATTAATTAGCGTTTATGGAAATATAAATGAGCATCCTTTTTTGCGTTGGCGTTAAGCTGGCAAGCCAAGTTTTATACAATGAGCTGACAATGGAAGATGAGATCGCTGCTGAAATCATTACAAAAATATCGGCGTTACAATTGGCCTAACGGATGACACGGTAATTTTTAGTATTAAGACTTTAAAAATGCTAAAAGCCAACAATTTTACGTTCAAGCTGGGCAAGGGTACTTGAAAAGACAATGCTGGTACAGAAAACTTGGCAGCACAATCCATACGCTCTATCAAAAAAAGGCTTGAATAAAACCTCAATTAAATTAAAATATTTTACACTCCCACGCATGCTTATTATTATTTTCATTTTATTATGAAGCTTCAAACACCAATTGAACGGTTATCTTACGCACCACGCTTCACACAATCTACGCGCTGGAAATGCTACCTTAAGTGCGCTTATATACACATGAAGAAATGTAGAGCTGAACAGCAACTAAAGCAGGTGATCCATCATGCTATGCAGACAATTTAAATCCATCAACGAAAAGCTCGTAAAATTCCATTAACGGAAACGCATAATAACAGTTGAGCGCACACGTCAAGCATAAAGAGTTCTACCAAATACCGGCTGACGACAGCAGCCCGCTTATCTATGTGCAAAAAATGCGGAAAAAGTTAAAAGAAACCAAATCAAGCGCAATTGCGCACGCTACACACTATTCGTACGATTAGTTGTTGCTAACAAAGTAGCCACAATAACGGACTTTATGGGTGTGCAATTATTCATTTATAACCGGTTATCAGTGGTTTCCGAAAATTGACGGCATAAAATCAAAAAGAAACCATTTATCATATCTTAAAAGTCAGGAAATTATTTTTGAAAACAGTGATAATTTGTTAAAACCCGTTATTTTAATTATTTTAGGTAATTAATTAATTTTTTCATTAGCTTTTGCTTTGCACCTACAAGTCTCAACAAACTATTTGATTGTACTTTCTTTTTTTTTTTAATGTAAACTTGTCTACTAAAATTTTCATTAAGCTGTTGAGAATTACAAGTGAATAACGGTATAAGCATTATTTTGCACAACGAGGCAATTAATTCGATTTCTTCACTACAAACCCTTTTTAACTTTAGAGGACAGAAAAAATTGAGACGAAATATCTTTGCTATCACTATAAATAGTTTTATATGAGCAACTTTCCATACGTCGTCAAGGAACCCTCGACCGATAGCTGCGATTCTTTTCCGGTATGGAGCCTTACATTCGCATAGAAGCTGTTCTATCGTATTAATAGAGAATGCTACCGACAACAACACATCAACTTGAAGCGAGCGATTGTCGGAATTTGCGACTAGACAAGAGGCAATAATTTTCCATTATGACAACGCTCGGCCTTATGTTAAAAGTCCGGTTAAAAACTATTTGGAAAATAGCGTCTGTGAAGTTTTTTCTCAACCGCCTTATAGCTCAGACTTTGCCGCCACTAACTAACATTTGTTCCGTTCGAAGCAGTACTCACTGGTATAAGGTTCACATTAAAACAGGGTATCCGAAATTGTCAAAATTAGAATCCAAAAATTGAAAGATGATAAAATATTTGTGTCAAACGTTTAATATTTGAAAACAAAAACATACGAATTTCGCTGTAGACACTATAACTTCGAGATCTTCGAAAAATATATATTTTTTCTTTTTATTATATTCGAAATACTGTGCCTAACAGTTGTTTAAGACAGTAACCCTCTGTTGAGTTGAGAGTTGAAATATATATCGAAAATTCAAATCACAAAATCTTATCGATTACTGTCGATGTTTGGTTGATTGACACACTTTGCTTAATATTGAGCTTGAACTGTGTGACTTTCAAATCAACTTTGCCCGTTTTTCTGTCCCACAGTCAAACTGAAAATCATACGACTAAGCGCTCGAAATCATTTCTAAATCCTTAAAGAACGAAAGTAAACAAACTTTTTTAAAACAATATTATTTTTGAATAACATGCACAAATCAACAGCAGATACTTGCGTTTGCTTACCGAAAAGGCACACTTGAAAAGAAACTTATGACTCAAGCAACGGGCGAACAACTCGAAACAACTGAAAAAGTAAACAAAAGCAAATGCAATGCTAAGAACCCGTTGGTAGGGTCACAAGGAGACGTTAAAAAACTTAACCCAGTTTTTCGGGCAAATATTTATAAATAAATAGAAAAGGAGAACTCAAGTTAGGAAAATGACACGAGGAAGAAGAGCGGTTAAGGCTAAGGGTAGGTAAAAAAAATACAACTAAATGGCGAAGGACAATGCGGCGCAGAGTTGCACAGCACAAAGATGGTAGCAACGCAGGAAAGGGTTGGAGGAATGCGCTGTGGATGCGGTGGCAGTTAAGCATAGAGCAAGCATAGTAAATGTGGCGGCGGCTTGTAAGCGCGCTACGGGATATTATTATGAGTAGATATAGCGCGTAGACGTAGGGAAACTTTCAAATACATTATGACTTATTATATTACGGTATAACAGTTATTTGTTTATATGTGTCTTAAGTAAATTTTTTGAATGCTTTGGCGTAAGTTTTGCATTTCATGCGCAGAGGCGTAGTAAACGGATTTGCGAAACTAAGTATAACTTCTGTGCGCAGCGGCACAATACATGGCATCTTCAAGTTAGAAAGGAACAAGCAAAAACTAAAAATCAGTACTACTACTTGCAACACACACAATACAAAATTCAAAGAGCCAGCAGCAGCGACGCGCACACTTGACAAAATTTATACGCCAAATGCCGTTGTGGCTGCCAAAACTTTTGCGAGCACCGAGTAAATAGCAACAATGGTAGGAGTAAAAATTATAGTTTGGCGCTCGTTGTTTAGCAGCTGCTTGTGGCGGATGTGCGCGCACAACGCCACAACTTACAAGCGCTTGCTTATATCAATAGAAGCGTACACGTATGTATATATGTATGTAGCGCATACGCGTCTGCTACAGCTTGAAAGCTCAAATTCACGAACGAGCGCGTTGCTGAGTGTTTAGTAAATACGCGTGGCAGCTAAGTGCTGTACGGCATTTGGCGACTTGTGGCTGTTTTGCTGGCAGGCCCTTAACTGCATTTGCAACATTTAGTTAAGACATACTTTGAGCGTTGCCACAGCGTCAATTTTGTGTTGCGCCTGCTGTAGGCACTTCCGGCGTGCGCGTTGCTAACACCTACTATGTGCTGACTCCTGCGTGGTTCAGCATATATTTCACATATTTCACCTTTTACTACTTTTACAAGGACTGCCTTTACAAACTAGCTTAAAATTGTGCTTTTTGCGCAATGAAACGCCTGTTTTATGACACTGTTGCTGCGAGAAATCAGCCAGCAAACGCCTCTTCACATTCGCGAAAAACAAAACGCTGGTTGGCTACGGTTGGCTGAATTACGCGTTGACTGCAGGCTGGCGGCCTCGTTTCGCCACTTTCAAGGTAAGTTCAAGGTGACTTTGTGGCATTAAGCCGCTCAAACTACTTGTACATGCATACACATGTTTGTAATATATACGAACACAAGCAACACACTGACAAAAATTTATTAAAACCAAAAAAAACAACATTAAATTAAAATTAAATCTGTTGTAAGTAAAACTTTGCAAGTTGTGCAGGATCTGAAGGATTTTTCATGTGGGCTATGCGCGTTGGCGGCGTGCTTCAAGGCAATGGACTGTTAACTGCAGTGACCTTGTGCGCATTGTGGAAGAGCCGCAAAAATTTGCTGCTATTGATGCTAAGTAAAGATGGTAAAGTTGCTTACTTTGTTTGCGCGCGGCTTTTGTTTGAAAAGCGCTTAAAACTCAGTTCATGGCTTTTAAAAAATAATCAAAATTAAAAGGAAAGCACAAACCGTAGCACAATTAGCAAAAGCTCCAGAAATACTCAAACAAAATCTACAATTGAATCTATCGATAAACGACAATTTGATTGATTAGGTGGAGTTCATACTGCTTATGGTAAATAATAGCAAGCTTACACTGGAAAATTTACTACGGAAACTAAATTTAAGTGCAACAAAAATGCAAGTTTATAGAAAATTTTAAAATGTTTTATTTAAAAAATTTAGTAAATACATTAAAATTTACAAACCTACATTTTACTTTTTCTTTTATTAAAAAAATATTTCAGTAAAAAAAAGAAACTAAAAGTTTTGTATAAATTAAAGCAAAATTTTTGCTCTCAAACATTTATGTAAATAAAATAGCTAAATATTATGTTTTTTTCTAAATAATATCTTAAAAACCCAAAAATTATTGCGATTAAAACAAATGTCAGTATTTTAGCGCTTAAAGCACACACGGCAACCCCTCAAAATAACGGACAGCAATCAAAAAACAGAGCACAACAAACATTGAACCTCAAAATCCATCAGGAATCCGAAAATTTGATGTGCCACCCACAAAACCACATCCTGCAACACGCCATATCCTGTTAGGCGCAAGCGAACTACCGCTCAGCGCACTCTACCGAGCTAACAGCAAAATAGTTACAGTGCAACAATTAGTTACGGTGGCCGGTAACTGAATTTCATTAAGCCCCCACCGCCAACGTCTGCCCGACTGCGTGCGAAGCGGCATTTCCGCTGAGCTCAGCAACCGTGAAATTCGCGAACCTCGCACACAGCGCTACTATAAACTGGGCAAAATTTTGCTGATGGTGTTGTTGCTGTTAGTAGTTTGGCGCGCAAATGGATTTGCCACAGCGCATGAAAAATGGAGAATTTTAAGCAAAAAACTAAAGAAAAATTTTCTAGCTGCGCAAAACTTTGTCAAAAATCCTAAAACTCCAACAGGTGTGTGACGTGACAACGCAGCGCTTAGAAATGATCACAAAAAATCTAAAAAATAAGAAAAACCAAAAATTTTTCGCAGTTAGGCGGCCACGCGTGACGGGGCAACACATAAATTCTGTGTGTTCGCCCCGCAGCAATTTACCGTTCGCGCTTTCCATTTCCATCACCACTCACTCGTATATTGATTCCGGCTTTCGCGTTAAACTTTGTAAATTTGCCGCTAAAAGCATATCCGCTGAGGCTACACACCCCAAAAGGCATCGACAAAAATGGAGCAAACATGCGCATGAATATATGGCAGCACACATATTGATGTTACTGGCGTATTGTATGACTTTTTATCAGCGCCTCGCATGTTTTTACATGAAATGTATGCGTTTTCGTGTTAATCCCGACAACAAATATTTGCATAGATTTTGGAGTAAAGAATTTATAAAAAAAAAAAAAATATGGTGCAAAAAGTATAGAATCAAAGAGATTTAAGAGTTTTAGACTTGTGAAATTTTGAAATTTAAGTCTGTTGCGAAACTGCGGTGCTTTTTTGTGTTAATATGAGAAAGCTTGCAATATATTTCAAAGCTCAAAAGTGAAAAACGGTTTAAGTAAATAATTATCGGATTAAATTTCAAATATGTTGGACCAAAAAGTTTGAAAAAGCTTCTGCAGAAAAAGCTATGTTCATATTTTCATATCTCGAGACACATATAGTGCGTATTGGTTTTACGAAAGCTTCACTGCAAGCTCAACAAATTTTTGAAATCGGAGTAAAAGCTTACAAGTATTTTTATTTGCGAACTTCGAGCTTATCATACTCATTCCAATTTGTTTTACTGTTTTTGAAATCTGTAATATTTTATTTTTAATTTTTTTAATTAAAAGTTCACTTTAATTAAAAGCTTCCGAAAGCCACACATTACATTTATACATATCGTATGGCAAATATAAAGAAACCTTCCTAGAAAGCTTGACAAATTTGCACAATCGGAAAAAGCTTCAAAATATATTTATATGCAGAACTTGTTCGAAATTCATTACAAAATAATTTTTTAAATTTCAGAACATTTAATTTATTTAGATGGAAGCTCACTGGAATTAAAAGCTTTTAAAAGCTTCCGAAAAAAAATTATATACAATATATACATGTCTTATAGCAAACATATAGAAAGCTTTACTGAAAGCTGAATAAATTTTCGAAATCAGAATGAAAGCTTTGAAATCTGTTTATATGCAGAACTTTGATTATATTATAGCATACTTATACTAAGTGTTTTTAAAATAATTTTTTAAATTTCAGAATATATTTACTACTTTTACTCAGATGAAAGCTCACGTGAATTAAAAGCTTTCAAAAGCTCAGATAGTAACAAACCACATTTTGCCTTCTATTTTCGCAATATACAAAATATACACGCTCACGTGAATTAAAAGCTTTCACAAGCTCTGTATAAAAACAAACCACATTTTGCTTATTATTTTCGCAATATACATATTTTGATCATTTTTAATAGTTTAATTTTTTCGAATACAATAATAATTCGCACAGTACAAACGCAAATAATTAAAAGCTCACACACGTATTTTCAAAGTCACACCAAATTCCAATAAATGCACAGCAAATTGCTCGGCACGTAAGCCTTTAAATAATAAATATTAGATGAACAGAAATTTTCATTACACCAGAGTGTGCAAAAATGCAAATTTTCATTCGATACAATTTACAACAACAATATACATTTTCATACGCTTAACGCCTAAAAGCACACTATATTTGACAGCAATTTTCTGTGCGACCAAAACAAAGCCAAATAAATGGCCCGAGTGGGCTTAGCACTTTGTATGCAGTGTGTTGTTAACACCGTTATTGAAAATATACAAGCCAACAACAAAGAACAAATAAAATGAAAAGTGAAAATGATTTGAAAATCACTTTCAATTACATTTACTAATTGCAACAAAAGTGAGTGCAACAAAACAAAAAAGCATAGCAATAGCAACAACAAATTGTAACGGCTTTGGAGGAAGTGTGTGAAATCCGATATGAAACCACACATAACAAATGCGTGAACAAAATTCAAATGGCATTAGAAATGACATGGATTTCGTTGTGTGGGTGCATGTGTGTATGTGTGTGCGTGTGGCTATGTTGCACTATTTTGCAAAAATAATAACAAAAAATATATATTGCAACTGCAAATATGCAACAAAACATCATGCCAGCCGAAAAGCATGAGGCGACAATAAAAACAACAACAACATATACACGTTTATGCATGTTAACACAATAAAATGGATATACCGAAAATTTTGGTGCCTGGCCATACGGTGCGGCAAACGGTAGTGGTTGCATGTATATGCATATAGTTGAGTGTATGCTTGCCCGACAAGGTCGCACAAATGCCGTTGCTTGTTGCCAAGGTATTTACAGCAGCAATAGCTGACAGCTTAGGCCGCCAGCTGGCGAGTAGCGAGGAGTAGAAAGAGCTTTGCCATTCGCAAATGCAGGTGCGAGTGTGTGTTCTGCCGTTGGCTGTGGCAAATAAATGAAATTTGAAACGAAAATCGCATTTGCTGCCATGTGAACATGCTGCACGCATACAAATTTATTCATACATATGTGCATGTGGCATGTGGCACTACGAGTGGTATGTGTGTGTGTGTATATTGCTGTTGCATGTGATGCAAATTGCAAGTGTTGCATGCGAAATTCAATTGCGTAGCGGTGAGACGAAGCGACGGCCGAAATTTGGCCAGCAGCGGATTATCGGTATAAACAAAAACAAGCAGACAAGAGCATTTGCATGTATATGAGCGATATGTGTGTGCGTGTGCAAAATAGCTTTGCACCGTGTTGTGATTGCCTTTGCACAGAATTGTGTTGCAAGGTCAAATCGAAGTGATGTTTGCACAAACACAGCCGCATTCATGTGTGTGCAAACGAGTATTTTCGCAAAACCAGCAGCAACAATAACAACAACAGCAAAAATAAAAACAACAACAAAAAACGAAAGGACAACTCTCATCAAGAGCCCAAAAATTTAAGTCAATTGTTGGTTATTGAAAATTTCCTTACAAGCGGCGCACAGGCTGTCAGCTGCAGATTTCCGCACTTTTTCAATTTTACTCTGAACGCTGCGTGTATGTGTAAGTATGTATATATCTACTGATATGTAAGCGATTAGGGTCTTTAGAAAATGAAACGCTTGGTGGCAAATAGGCGTTGCAAATACGTAAACACAACGGCCGCAAGCAGCAACACAGCAAAAACTACAAAAATGCACGAAAAGGTGACAAATAAAAGCGCTAGAACAAGCAAGAAAGGTTGTCTTTTTGCACTAACTGAGTCGGCGCTACCATAAAATTTTCTTATCAATACATGGTTGTTGTTGTAAACTAGATATTTGAGAAATGCTGACGAGTTAGCAGTGCTTGGACGGTTAAAAATCCAAGTCCATGCCAGTCAAGCTAGCGCAACTATCGTGAGGTTAGTTTAGACCTCATTAAATCAATACATTTTGTGCTAGCTGCAGTAGAAAACATTCCTGCAGTAATTTGGCGGAATGCTGCCGAGCTGAGAGTGCCTGCCGTATAAAAACACGAGTTCGTTCTGTTTACTTAAATCTCACACAATCGGTTAAGGGGTTACATGGGTTTTACGACTTCAAAAAACAAAAAAAAATTTTATTGTCTTATTTAATTCTATAACATCGCTAGAATATTGCCCTAAATTCTCAAGTTGATACCAGTAATAGTTTTGCAGGTACAGCTTTTAAAAGTTGCGCGCTCATGGTCAGCTATATAGTCACTTAAAACTTTAAACGCGTCAAAATTAATTCTCTAAAAGAATTTGGGAGTTCAAGAGACTCAGTGGAATCAGTTTCTGACTTGCTCAACAAGCAGGCAGACTGTTAAAATTCAAACGGAATGATATAGGAACTCTAGTAGAAGTACTAACAGGCCACTGTCTAATAGGCAGACATGCCAATAGACTAGGAACGCCATCTAACGACTATTGTAGAAGCTGTCAGGAGATAGAAGAGTAGGAGACCATTAAACATCTTCTATGCGATTGCACGGCGCCATACAGGAAAAGAATCGCCGGCATCGGTTGAGGGTTTCTTGACGACGTCTCGGAGGTGGCACGGATAAAACTTGCATTACTGATGAAGTTCATCAGAAGCACGACGTGGTTCAGAGAGAAGCCAATAGAGTCAGGGGACCTTGATGCCGGTGGTATCACAATGCGCCACATAAAGGCCTGGGAGTGTCGAAAGACAGCCACTCTATCTACCTACCTATCTAAAGCCACAAAGTTTACTATTCACCACTATATGATTAGACAGTGGTTGTAGCCCCAAAAAATTTCAGCCAGAAACCAAATTCATCGTAGGCAATACGCTATTCAGCTAACGCAACAAAAACAAATACCATGACGTTCAACAACGTTGCATGACTATGCAACGCTTACACACCTGGTTGCCTGCCTGAGAACCAGTCTTCGGCAGCCGAACACATCCTACACTTGACGCACTGCCCGATAATGTTAATAATCACACTAGCATTGTTGTTGTTGTTGTCGATGATGGTTATGATGCTGCAACGCACGCCAAGCGAGTTGGCACGTGCGTGCAATGCAGCAATTTGTACTCTTGTTGTTACACTCATGTTGCATGGCGACATGCACGACCGGCATGGGTGAACGTTTGTGTGCGTCAAGGACACGCACGCATAGAGGGGTTGCTGAGCAGCACCATATATAGCTGCAGAGACACGTTTACATATGTACAGCTCTCAGCGTTCTTTTGTTGCGCACTGTTCTACACCTCCTCCGCCGTCTGCCACTCTTTGATGTCTTTTGTAAACCTAAACTACATTTTTGGTCCACAACATGCGCTTCTTGCAAACGTTACTGCAGTGCACAAACACCCGCCCGCTCTGCGCAAAACACTCACATGCTCATCCACGCTGCCGCACTGTTATTAGCCAGCATATGTAATTGCCACAATTTGGCAGTGGGCACAAATGTAAGACACAACAGTAACAGGCACAGAAATTTGGGTCAACAGCTTTTGGCTGCGGCTACACTAACATGCAACAGCAGCAACAATTGCGAGCAAAGAGCATGCGGAATGTTGATAATGGTGGTGTGCTCATGTTGACGAAGCTCACCTTCAGTTACCCGAGGCACAATGCAAATTGACAGTTTCAGGCCAAACGTATCGACTGGCGGGCAGCCTAACAGTCAAAGCGGCACGGCTTGGCGACGACTGGCTCGCCGTATGCTCAAATGACCGACTGACCAACCGGTTATTGGCAGCTGGGCTTTGGCGTAGTGTCTTACTAGCCTTATAAGTAGGTCTACTGATTTATGATAGTCGCTGTAGGTTTTTTACGTTTACAAAGCAAAATGGAATTGTTGCTGTGAAGCTTTCGTTGTGACGATGCTGTGAAGGGCGCCAGAACTAATTTCGAACTGGTAAGCGGACCAATGAAGCCGTTGTAATAAGGCAAACAGGCTTAAAATAGCTAAATCTAGTAAAACATAACTGGTCGGGCAATGCTAAGAAGTTGCTTTTTGTAGACACATTACATAATTTGCGTCAATCAAGTAGCAAAGAACGCTTACGATCTTTTTGTTTACATTTAAGAAACTTTCAAGCAGTTCTACGACTTTTTAAGTTTTATGTTGCCACAGAGTTCAAGTAAAAATACATACGCATATATTGCAATGACCTGATTAAACCGACAACACCAGCCACAATTTTCCACTACAGAGTTGCAATTGCTTGTATCACTTTCAACGTATCTCTGCTCCATCCAGTGCACTTGCCTTCATAGCCTTATATGCCAATCACTTTTTGTTGCTGCCGATTTATTGTTTGACTTTCGAATTCAATCGAATATTGACATCGAGTGAAATGCGTTACAATACAACAACAAAACTTGTATGTACAATCAACAACAAGCTTGCGCATTTCGTTCTCATCTTGATGTTGGCTTAAATGTGTTTCGGGGAAATGCAACGTTGTCCTGTTCACTTGCCAGTTTCAATTTCGATTCGATTTCATTTTCAATTTCATGAAAATGTGCCGCTCGGTTTGCGGCTTTCAATGGGAAATGCGCATGTGATTTTCGGCGCAAACAAGTATTTTCGAAATTGGCGATGAATTTCAAAAGGAACTAACAACAGCATATGCGAAGGGTACAGGTAAACGATAAAAATTGAAGAGGAAACTAGGCTTGGGTTTGCAAAGTGATATTAAATGTATAATTCCAGCTGATCCAAGCAAAAATTAATTTGCTTGTATGTATGTATATATTCTATAGTAGTGCGAACTAAACAATTTGTTCGAAGATTGTAGCATTGCCTTGGGGAATAATCCTTGCCGAATTTCGTGAAAATATCTTGTCAAATAAAAGAGATACCCATACAATGACTGGATTTGTATCGATCGGTTTATATGGCAGCTATATGCTATAGTCGTCCGATATCGGCGATTTCGACAAATAAGCAGTTTCTTGCGAAGAAATAAGGAAGTGCAAAATTTCAGACCGATATTTCCAAAAATAAGCGACTTCTTCGCCTACAAGTATATACAGGCAGACATACAGGCTATTAAGGGCATAAAGGTAAAACTAGAGGCTAAATTTGAAATGAAGTGAGGCATTACAGTAGCCAAAACCAATCCACATGCAGCAACAACTCAAACAAAGCAGCCATACAAAAATGTTTGTAAATAAACAAAATAAAAAGTGACAGCAAAGCGCAACGAATGTAAACATTTTCATTCAACTTGCCTTTTGATGCAGGAAAAAAATTTAGGCCACACAAAAGGCAGCAAAAAACACTAAAACATTGCTGCTTAATATTTAGATATTCGACAGGGAAACAAAGTTTGAGGCAGGAAGAGTGCAGAGCAAACATGACTAAATACACATGTATGTATGTATATATGTATACTAGTATATAGTACTTAGGCGGCGAGCAAGAAACTTGCGACTTCTTTGCCGAAATACCTGCCAAAAATCACCAAGCAATGGCAAATGTGGAACTGACAGCGGGATAGGTAAAAACTGTGGAATATACAGAAAAAAGTCAAGTGAATTCATTATGCGTATGCGAATTAACTGAAACAACAACTGACAGAGCAAGACAGGTAAGAGAATACTTCCAATAGATGAAGTGCATTAAGAGCCAATGAATGGTCAGGCACACAGGTCTCTTATATGTATTTATATTGTATACCATAATACTCATATATAGCGCAAATGACGCAATGGGCGGAGCGAGTAGAGACGCAGTCATAAGCCAGGGTTCAAGCAAAGAATATTTTTTACTGATGCAAACAGCACATCGGCAAACAAATCAAATGGATGTGAGTCGAAACGATCTAAATCGGCATTTGCACAAATCTTGTTTAGCAATTTACAAATACGACATTTATAATAATTATATACACACATACTAATTTCAAATATACCTGCATATTTAAAGCACTATTTATATAACTTATATCTTTCATTTTCTCACTACAAACATACATACCTGCATTTTATAAAATCGTATACATTTTTGCATTTTTCGCGACTACACAGAATGCAACACAAAAGCTAAACCGTTTCATTACTTCGATTATTCACAACACACAACCTTACATAACTTTCTGTAAATTGAATTATTATCAACTTAACAAATACTTGTCTTTGAACAGTTTTAACACAAATACCACAAAACTATGAGCAAAAACAATAATTTGTCAAATAAAAAACGAACGCATACTAACGATGTTACCAAACTTCATGTGTAAACAAAATCGATGATCGATAACCCAAAATGGCTTGCAATACTTAAGCTTAATGCAGATTGTGAGATAATAAGCAATTACACTGTGTTGCAATAATTTTAAAATAATTGTAAAACGCAAACAGATTAGAGCTTGTATTATATATACTTGTAAGTAAAAATGTATATGTGAAATCAATAAGTACCGCATTTATAATTGATTAGGAATGTATGAAATTTTTTTAACATAATCTGAAAATTATTAATATGATAATATTTGCAATTTTCTGTGAAGTGGATTGGTTACTAATAAAATATTTCATGTACAAATTGGTTGCTAAATCTTATTGGAATTTGTACACCAATAAGGAAAACTGTCTACCTATAGTATAGTTCGTTTCACGCTTACTTTAGCCTACTCAATGTGACGGCATACGCGTGCAACACCTACGCATTTAAAGCTATTTATGCGCTTTACACACATTTTGTTGCGTCAATTGATGTTGAATAGGGAACCTTTAAAGATTTGCAAAATTTTCCACCTCAACATTACAGCAAGACATGTAAAATACATCAAGGACAGCAACCATACAAATGCAACTATATGTGTATGTAATTTGTGGCAGGAATATAAAGCGTCGCCGAAAAGTGTCAGCGCCACGCGAGGCTGATGGGTTTTTTACTGCAGGTTCGAGGCAAAAGGAGTGTCTAAAAATTGCATGCTCTTAAAATTTTATTAACTTTGCGTAAAATTTTACTATGCAGT